CTATCTAAAGGGAGTCAGGCTGGATTTACAGCAGCAGCAGCCAGATCCAAAAAGGAAAACAAACTCCAGACCTGGCTCTCTCTCCATTACAATCTGCCAACCAATGTTATGGTAGAAGAGATCGTTAAAAAGGTGTGTGTGTGTGTGTGTGTGTGTAGGGGTGGTTTTGGCTGTCACAGGTGGTATCTTGTATTGGGTGTGTTGACTCTACTTACAGAAAACAGCCATGTCCTGTTTATCAGGTTTCTTTAAAATCCTTTGTCTCTGGGCTGCCTGAAATGGGTTAGCTATTCTCCTCCTGTGAGTCAACACATCTCCTTTCTCGAGCATAGCTGACAAGGCAGCCTCCCTTCAAATGTAACCCAATCCCTTAAGGGCAAATATTTTTGCCCTTATTTATGTGGGGAATTACTGGTACTCCTGCTGTAATTTATACAATTATAGGAAGTTTAATGTTATACTTAGCTGTGGGTTTCCATCACAGGAAGTTGTTTGACTGGTTCTAATGCTTCACTCTCAAGTCTGTGGTAATGTATTAATTTTTGACTTTAAATTGCAGCTCTCTTGTTTGCTACCACTGTGCTGGGGCAGATGGCAGATGAGGTAGAAAAATTTTAAGTTGAAAAAGGAATGAGAGCCCTTCAGGCAATTCTGATTTTAGTCTAGCTGAAGTGTGTTATTTCTGTTGTACTTATTTATTTACCTAGCCACTGGGATTCAGCAACTATCATAGTTAACCAGAAGCCTTAAAAAATATGCGCTGCAAGAATATAGGTTAGTTTATTTCTCCCTCTCTCCTCTCAGTGTATTAGTTTATAAACAGGCATTTTCAAACACAATTAAAATATAAGTAAAGAAGTAAGTGGCAAATTTTTGTCATACTTTGTTTCAGAAAAAAGATCTTTTTTTTAAAATCATAGTAACATGATTTCCTCTTCTGAAGCAATTGATCTACTTTGTTACCAGAATGTCTTCTGCCTAAGAGAGGTTAAAATAAATCATTACATGGTTTCAATAAAATAAAATAAAATTGAATGTACTATTTGAAACTTAATCTAAGTGAAAATTGTGCATATGTATGTGTTTAAAGTTCCCATTGATTATTTCACATAAGAGCAATCTGAGTCCTCGGCATTTAACTTTTTGAGTGGACTAAAATGTGGCTTCTCTCCAAAGAGCAAAAGTAAATTGAAATTTAAAACCTACACAGGTTTCACCTAGATTTTGTTCTGACCAACTTAGATAAGAAACTATAGGATAAAGTTGACAAGAACATTGTTTTCTTCATTGAAAAAAAAAAGAACTTCTCTTTGGCACAAATATAAATGACATGTATCTCCAAAGTGATCCAAGGAGAGAGAAGGGAGGGGGTTGTTTTATTATTGTTATTATTATTAATGTTCTCAGGAAGAAATGTTCAGAAATACTTTAAACAGAACCAGTCCGTTTACTACACCAAATTTATTACCTTCTCCCTGCTTAAACCACTCCTGTAGAGATCAGGAAATGTGTGACATTACCAGGTCCAAACCTTTGTTTGGAGGGGTTTTTGCCTTTTTCTCTATATGTTCTTACAGCTTATCTCAGCTCTTCTGCCACACTGAAGTAAAACTTCCTATGTGATATCTTTGTGGACTGAAAGTATTCATGTGTTTTTTTTTCTTTAAACCATAGTATGTTCTATAATTACTAACTGATATATATAAATTAATAATACCAAATTAACATAATTAGTCATGTTAATAATTATAATCCAACAATGTTAATTTTTAAAGTAGTAATGCATGCCCAATGCAGATATCTTATAAAGAGAGGTATAGAGAAGCAATGACTGTGAATAGTCACATGCCTCTTCTTTTTCCAAATTAAATTAAAAGAGGATGGATAATCCAGTATCTGGATTATTGCTCTAGTATCTAACATCTCTTCCTTAGGGCTTTCTCTCTCTCCTGGGTGTCTGTTAGGTTTCCACATCCAGGCAGGGGAGCCATGTTGTGAATCCTTTCGCAGTTGGTTTTGCTGCCGTTATTTCCTGCCATAGCTCTGTGGCTATGAGAACTGAGCTTCCTCTTTGGGATTATCACCACCCAGTGGTGGGAGACGCTTGCCTTTGTTGCCCTTGTTCCAGGCATGGGCCCATGAGGTAACTGAGTGCTAACTGTGCCTCTTACGGGAGGGTAAGGTTTACTGTTCTTAGTGTCCAGTGACTTGACTGACCCCTGTATTGATTTTCTTCAAAAGGACTCTTGGATAAGATTGTGCTGGAATAAGACTGGTATGGTGTCTGCCTGGTAGGGCCTAAGCCACACCCATCTTTCAACCCTGTGGAATCCATGTAGCCATCAGAGGTGTTTCCTTATTAACCTTCCAAGTATAAAAGGCTTCCTCAGGTAACTTGTTCTCCATGGGCAGATATTTTTTTTCACGAGGGAAGAGAAGAATGAAACAGGTGGAATCAGCATGGCATCCCACCTATCTAAGCAAATATAAATAACCCAATACCATCCATTCCACTCAGGGATAACTGCCATCAGAGTCACTGGGAGAGGCAACACTGGGGGGTGGGCTTCTCAGTGGAGCCCATGTAACTGGCTCCTCTTGAGCTATGCACTGGACAGCCTTCATGGCTCTGTCCCCTTATTTTCATCCCAAGCAGGGGAACAGGGTGATACCAATCACATTATTCAAGGAAATAAATAAATTATTTCCTTCTAGTCAATTTTTTCTATGCACATTTGTAAATATATGCAGGTTTGTAACAGTATTTTTATACAGGTGTCCTGGGCTCAGGTACCCGAGACAGAGGCAGTCAAATGACCCTCCCTAGCATCTCTCTTAGGACACCCAGCTTTAGATTCTGCCAAAGGAAAGATGGGCAGCCTTTTTACGCAGATGTTACATAGGGACAAGGGGACAGGAGGAAATCTTGGCCTTTAGATACTTGCCCTGTTAAGTTTACAAGTTGCTAAAATCTGTAGGATGGACTGCAATAATGCTGACCAAGTTCAGATGTCCATGGAGTACAAAGAAATGCAGATGTATGATCAAGGATACATCAAGAGGGTGTGACTATGTTCTACTAGTGAATAGGAAAATGCATCAAAGGGATATTGGTTCTGTTTCTATGAGAAGCTTGACTCAGAATCTCTAGGAGCCCTATATTTTTGAAATGGAAGTAGGTGTGTGAATGGACCTAAAGAAGTGCAATTTGCAACTTCAAGATGGGTTTGACATATGGTACCCTCCCTCATGGTTAAGGACTCCTTTTCCTAGGCCAGAGTCAGAGCTGAAAGTTCTGGCAAAGGTCAGAGTAGATGTCCCATTCAAGCCCATCTCTGTGGGCTATGCTGGCTCATTTGCTAGCCATACTGGTGAGCAAGGACACTAGGAACACCCAGCATGTGATTCATTTGGGAGGTACCTTCAGATTGCATCAGGCATGGCTGCCAAGCCTTCAGCATTGAAGAGGAAACAGCAGTACAGAGGGAGGTTCTGGAACAAGCACTGAGAGAACAGTCATCATGGGGGGCCTCCAGCCTGAGAAGGATCTAGGGCAAAATGAGAGCAAATAAGGGAATCCTTTGGGCAGAATAAGCACTGTAGGAATAATTACACCTATTGGGAAGAAGAATTCAAAAATAGACTGGGAGATTTGGAGCTGTACTTTGAAATTTTACTGCTCAGTCCCCTGTTTTCATCCCAAGCAGGGGAACAGGATGATGCCAATCACATATTCAGACTCATTGGTCATATGCAAAACTTTATGTTGTATTTCCCAAATCATTAAAAGTTCTCAGAATCATGACTTCATGATAGTCCATCCTATGGAAGTGAGGAGACACAATTTCAAAAGTGCTCAATATGTAACCATCCCTTAGAGTAGCTACATCATAGAATCTAGTTCCAAAGGTATGGCTTCAATATACACAGTGAATAAAACATGAACCTAGAGTCAGGAAGACCTGTGTTCAGATCCTGATTCTCTGGCTGTGTGATTTTGCTCAAATTATTTAAACTTTCAAATCCTCGATTTCTTCATCTCTAAAATGGGGATAATCATACGGGCTTTGAAGGGTGGCCGTGAGGATGAAATAGGATGGTATACCTAAATAACAGAACCTAAATAATAATAGGCAGCCAATTCAAGGTAGCTGTTGTTGCGATATTTTCTGTGTGGATAAGTTAATTATTTTCATCAGGGTCTGAATGTAGTGCACTGATGTAGCAGTTAAATAAAGCATACATTTTGATGATTTTTTAGAAGTCCTTTCTCTTAAATAAAAAGAATTGAAAACAGTCTCCTCTTGGGCTACCATCTCTCTTCGAATATCATTGCACAACTGTTGGTTTGCAATACCGCATTGGCTTAAAAAAATAAAATAGAAATGCAACATGTTAAGACAAATATTCTAAGTGAACACATTGCTTTTATAACTCTAGGGAGTCTATGTGGATGATACCAGAATGGAAAATGTTGCAAGATAAATAACACATTTTAATAATTTTGCTTTTTAAAAATTTAAGTTTGTACATACAGTATTCCCTTTAAGCTGGATTTCTAAATTTGGAAGCAGGGAGAAGAAAAAACAATTATTTGAAAAACCTCTTCGGATAAGGGTATTCATGGTTCTCAGAACAGAGATAGCCCTTGGCTTGACATCTGCAATCTAGTTCATGACATGGAGCAGGCTTGTCTTTTATCTAGGTTTTTATTTGTTTTTTTTGTTCTTCTTTGCTTGTTCTTAAAAAGACAAATGAATTTAGCATTTGAAATACTGAACAGTCTATTTTTATCGATTGAGATATAATATATTAGCATTTGTTTCCAAATTTTGCTTAATATATTTAAAAATTACTATTAAAGTGCATATGTTCCTGGTAAAAAAAATCTGGAAAATGTAGATAAATAAAAAGAAAATACCATAATTCCTTAATCCTATCAGTCAGAGATAATTACTGGATATAGCTGAGTCTTTGTAAGAATGCACTTATACCTGTCTAGTCAGTTTGGGCTGCTTCGGCAAAGGGCCATTGACCAGGTGGCTTATGAACAAATATTTGTTTCTCACAGTTCTGGAGACCAGGAATCTGAGATCAAGGTGCTGGCATGGTCAGGTTCTGGCGAGGGCTGTCTTCCGGGGTGCACATGGTTGACTCTTGTTCTCTTGCCTGGTAGAAAGAGAGTGAGCTGCCTCTTATAAAAGCATTAATCCTATTCACAAGGACACTACTCTTATGACCTAATTACCTCCCAAATACCATCACATTGAGGATCAACATGAGTTTTGGGGCACCCAAACAGTGTAGTAACGCCTATACATACATATATTTAATGCAAAAACACAATCACACCTTTGTAATTAACATTTTTCAACCTAGCAATGTACTTTGAACATTTGCCCATATCATTTGATTAGTTTTCATTTCATTTTTAATATTGGCAGACTTCCATTGTATGAAGATTTAATTTTTTTATCATTAACTTTTTAGCTTTTTTTTCTACTAATTTTCATCAATTATTAATAGTATTTTCACAAACATCATTGTGGCCAACTCTTTGCACACATCTGTGATTTTTGTTTAGAAGGCAATTATGGGCAAAAGGTGATATGTAAGAATATTACATGTTTTGGATGCATGTTGCAAATTATGCTCCAAAAGAAAGTTACAAAGTGACATTCCTCCCTCTAGTCCTTCAGTTTGTATTTCTCCAAATCCTCAACACTGTTGATTATTTTTAAATGTTTCTAATGATATACAGTCGATAAAAAGTATTATACAAAGAAATTACAGTTTTATTGGCTGTATTCCCTATGCTGCACTTCCATCCCTGTGACTAATTTATTTTATAACTTGAAGTTTGTAACTTGAAGTCATCCCCTCCACTTACTTCACTCATCCCCCCACCCTCCTCCCTTAGAGTAACCAGCAGCCCTTTCACTGTGTTTGCATATCTTGCTGTTTTGTTTGTTTGCTTTGTTTTTTTAGACTCCACAGATAAGTGAAATCACATGGCATTTGTCTTTCTCTGACTTATTTCACTAGGTCCATCCATGTTGCCACAAATAGGATTTCTTTGTTTTTTTTGGCTGAATAATAAAATAGACCATTGTGTATATGTACCACATCTTTATCCATTCATCTATTGATGGACATTTAGGTTGCTCATAACTTGGCTGTTGTAAATAGTGCTGCCATAAGCATAGGAGTGCATGTACCTTTTCAAATTAGTGATTTTGTTTTCTTCACTTAAATTCCTAGAAGTGGAATTTTTAGGTTGTATGCTATTACAGTTTTTAGTTTTTTTGGGGGAAACCTCCAGGCTGTTCCATAAAGGCTGCACCAATCTGCAGTCTCCCAGCAGTGTAGGAGTGTTCCCTTTGCCTCACCAATACTTGTTATTTCTTTTTTTGGGTATTAGCCATTCTGATTGGTGTGAGGTGTTATCTCATCAACAAAGCTGATTACTATTTCTCTTAAAAATTTAGATTGATAAGACTAAAATGCATTCATCCTTATTTAATTATTTGTGTGATTGATTCTATTTGTCTATTGCCGGTTTGTGAAGGTATCCTGCATGAATATATGAACGTTAAAGGGTTAAAGTTGAAGCTGAATTAAAAAAAGGGATTTGCTTTCTTTCCTACTTTCATTATCAAGGCTTCACTTTTCTCAGCCCTTTTTTGTAAAGGCTCTCTCACAATTCCTGAAGTGAAGTAGTCATATTTAAATTGCAAGGAACTGAAAACTGATTCAACTTGGAAGTTCAAAAAGTAGATCATATTCATGACTTGTGCGTTTAGAAAAGGACTTGCTCGAATTTGAAACTCCATAACCATATATTACCTGTACCTTTCATCTACAGGTCAGGTGGAATTTAAAAAGAGGAACTGTAAATATTTTAATTCACTGTTCAGAGTCTTGGAACGGTATGAATGGAAAGGGACTTTAAAGTTCCAGTTCAACAATCTAGTTAGTTCACAAAGGAGGAACTTAAAACTTGGTGTAATGGAAAACCTTTAAACTTCAGAGTTAGAATTTAGGTTCAAATCCTGGTTCTGTCACTTATCAGATGTAAGTAGGAAAATGTACTCAATCTGGAGCTTCAGTTCTGCCATCTCTCAAGCACAGGTAATGTTAACTTGTTCACTGGACTATTGTGATGTCAGTTTTTTCCTGTTCTTTAATGACTTACCTGTGGTCACTGAACTAGTTAATAGTACAGAGGAGATGAGAGCCCTTATCCCTTGATAATTCCTCATATGCTCTGTTCACTATGTTCTTTCCTAGTTAAGGATTTTGAAGCTTGATGTATTAAGGTACATGCTTTTAATTAAAAATAGACTAGAATGCAAAAAAGGTTTGGCAAACACTCTTGTTTAGTTGACCCAAACTTCTGTCAGTGCCTTCCAGCTAAAGACCACCAGTAATTCACCTTCAGCTGAACAGGCTGGATTGACTACTGAGTGCATGGAAGGAGACCACATATCATGGGGGAAACTGGGGTGTTTGAGAGGATTTTCATAAGATCAGGACTCATATGACATAGATTTTTTTGGAAGGGAGGGAAATAAAGGAAGTGGCTTTGTTCTGGATTGGATGCTGTCAGGAACTGGGGATAATTCTATGATTGGATGTTTAAAAAAAAATCACAGGATAGGGTGTAGTAAATAAAGTGAGATTAAAGCTGTGATTGGGAAAGGAGAGGCAGCATAAGCTTCATCCCATATTCGCCAGTATATGGAAAGAGTATTTTTGTGGTTTGCACAATACTTTTGCTCCTTGTGCATAGGGAAGATTATGGAGTTAACCTTGTTTTTGGGGGGGGTTGTTTGTTTTTGCTTCTGCGTGGTCCTTGGTGGTGATCTGGAAGCTTGATTATGGTCAACAGGGAAGACCAAGGCCCATCTGCCAGTACTGCTTCATCTCCTAACAATGTAAGGGCCTATGAGTGTCACGACAGTTTTTGGATGTCAGAAGCTGCTTTCCTTTTCTCTCTGCATCTTCCTTCTCTCTTGCCACCTTTAAGCCAGCAGTGACTCTGGGACAAAATTCTGGCTGACCTGGCACAAACATTTTCTGGGAACTTCCTGTTAAAACATTTACTTTCCGATATTGGCACCATCCATCCTCACTGGTCCATCTTCCTCGTCCCCAGTGGAAAGGTGATACAGCTGTAGGAGCTGCAGCAGCTTTTTTGCAATTATGAGGGAAAGATCAAGGAAATCTCAGAGTCTTTGGCATGATTGATCTACTGAATCAATCCAGCATTAATAACTCCAGTAATTAGTGAGTGATTTCTCAATATGGGAAAAAAATGCTCCTTAATTAAACAAAAGAGCCATTCTACCCAGGCTGGTATCTGTAGCTGAAATCATTCCTAAAACATTAGGTATTTGCATTCATTGTTTACTAAACGAAACACTCATCTAGCAGCCAGATTTTTATGGTGGCTCAGAGCATATTCCATTTGGAAACAGAGCTTCACAATAGCCTATTTTCTAAAAAATTAGGATTACATTAGGTGTATAAATTATTGTTCTTTCTGCTTCACAAGGTTTGTCATTATTACTTCATTCGGATGCAATTACTCCCTTGGTTTCAGAAACCTGTGTGAAAATGAAAGCTTTAAAAATCTTCCAGAGTAAGCTCAGCAGAAAGAAGTGTGGGCACATTTTTGTAGACTTGATTCTTGAAAGAGTGAATACAACTGTAAACATAATTGCTAGATAATTGTGACTTCACCATTGTAATTTCTCTGCTTAGAAAAATGGGTCTCTATAGCCATTGTGATTTGTTAAGCTTAACAATGTATTGGCTGGTTTTAATGATTATTGACTTAAAGGTAGAAAGCACTCTTGTCTTCCCAGGGGGATAATTTCTTGATTACTCTGTACTGCTGTGGTTAGCAGGTTAGACTCCATAGTACAGAATCAGTATCCACTGGAGAACTGATCATGTGTTGGGAGGTGAGGATGAGGACCTGAGCTAATTGCTAATTGTATTCAGTGTGCAGGAAAACCAAACCACAGGGCCAGGAGGCATCCAATGCCTGCTAGAAGCTGGATGAGTGTTTTTTAAATAAAAGATATGCAAAATAGAATTTGGTTACAGAAACGGTAGCACAGCATGGAAAATATAGTCAATGATTCCGTAACATCTTTCTACATTGATAGATAGTGACCACACTGGACGAGGTGGGGATTTAACAATATGAGTAACTGTTGAAGCACTGTGTTGTACATTTGAAACTAATATAAGATTGTATATCTACCATACTTCAAAAAAAATTTTTTTAAAGGGTAAGCAAAAAGACTCAGGGAAGTTTTATGCATTGACATTTCGTATTTAATTATGTCCAGGTGTTTCTATTCTTATCTCTCTTTTTACCCACATATAGTAGGTGCAAAATAGTTGTTCAAGAAATAGTTGAAAAGTATTCAAATTTGGCTCTGCAATAGTGATAGTAATAATTTATCAAAATATTCTCCAATAGACAGTAAATTATTTAGCAGGTTACAATTCATGTATTACAGATATATGACTGAGTAAAATATATTAATTTCCACTTTGGTGAACATAAAATATACTGATACAGGGAAATTTAATAATTAATGAGGAAGATTCTTGTCCATTTAATTAAATAGAATGTGAATCTTGCATAGACTGCTTGACTGTACCAGGAAATACATCAGTGCATGAAACTGACCAGTGCCTCTCTTTTCCAAGAAAAAACTTAACAGTAAATTACCACAAAACAGTCTTACAATGTAAGTTTAATGTTCTGTACTTGAAATGTTTATAAAAAGACAGATGTTTTCTCTCCAGTTCCTGTAGGCAGATGAAAAAAACCCATTCAAATGAAATGATTCATATAAATTTAATCCACTGGTGGGTTATTTGCTGGAGGTATGTGTTGAAATTATAGGTACTACTCACCTTCAGAATTTTTTAGTAAATTTCTGCGATTTACTAAAAGAGGGATATGCAGAATCCTAGTTTTATAGTAGCCGTGTTCAGCATTATGTAGGCTACTCAGGGTTCCTCTTCACTTTGTATTTTTTCCAGGAAAGATGCTCTTTGAAATGAATAGATCCATGCTATTGTAAAAGAGGTTTTGAAGCTTATCTGTTTTTTCTATTTTGGGGTTTTTACAGTGCTATTTTCCTGCAGAATTAAGTTCTGGTGAACTATGTATTTTGAGAGAATGAATGAATGAAAGACCTTTCAGCCTTTATTTAAAACTAAATTTACTAGGAAGGGGCAATTGCAGTTCAGTGAATTAAATACTAAATTGGATGTATCAACTGCAATAAATAGAGGAGGGAGCCTACAGGGAGTGACCTTATTTTCTGCAGTGATATTTGAGATAACTCTTTCTACTTTCATTATCAAGGCTTCACTTTGATAATGCCCCATACCAAAGCAAATTGTACCATGATTTGCATGAGAAATAAACCTTTATTGTTTCAGTGATGAAACCTAGGAGTTTTCCAGGTAGACAAGTAATAGAGAGAGCAGAGCAGGCATTTCATACTGAGGCTGTGGTTGGATGTGCCTAAAGTGGATCATGGAGTACTATGGAATCTTGGGAGGAGTTTACTTAGTACATTATGCTAGGGCTCTCAAGGCTTTTGTGTTCCTACAGAGGGAAATGTCAAGCGATGTTATGCAGGTCATTCAGAGTTGGATCATGCAGGCACTGAATGACAAGCTGAAGAGTTTAGTTTGTGTCCTGGAGTTGCTGTACCTAAGCTTCATGGAGGCAGCAGTCCTGGTGACTGGGGTGGTGGTGCCTAAGACAGTGTACTTGCCTAATGTGAATTCGTTAGTCAGTGAATGAGGCACTATTAAAGAATTTTGAGAAAAGGAGCAGCCAGTTAAAATGTAAATTTGGGGAACATTACTGACAGCAGTGAGAACAGGAAATAGAAGGTAATAATTATTTTCTGATGCTGCTGTTACAAATTACCACAAATTTTGTGGCTTAAAACTACAAATTTGTCATCTTGCGGTTCTTTGGATCAAACTTCTGATGCAGATCTCAGTGGACTAAAACCAAGACATTTGCAGAGTCTTCTTCCTTTCTGGAGGCTTCCGAGGAGACCGTTCCTCTCCTTTCCCAGCTTGTAGAGCCTGCTGGCGTTCTCAGCTTAAGGCTGTGTCCTCCACCTCCTTCAGCTGCACTGAATCTCCTGGACTTGTCTACCGTCTCTGTATTTCTCTCTGGTTACAATCGGAAAGGTTCTCCAATTTTAAGGGCTCTTGTGGTAATATTGAGCCCACATGGAGAACCCAAGAGAATCTCCCCTGTTGGGGTTCTTGACCTTAATCACATCTGCAAAAGTCAGATAACATATTCACAGTTTCTGGGGAATAGGAGCCTGTTATTTTGCATACAAAGGGCCTGGAGTCACTTCGTGAAACTCAGTATAGAAACTAATAAATGAAGCAGTTGTGACAGGGATAAAGCTAGTTCAGGAAACTGTTTTGCTTTCCTTTTTTGGCAAAAAGGTAGGCTACATGTTGTATCTTCTTTGCACTTAGTTGTGACCAATACAACTAAGTTCTGACCAGTGACAATTATATGGGCTTTTTCCAGGCCTGGCCCGTGCAACACCTCCATTCAATCTTCCCTGTTTTTCCTTCTGCAGGCTGGCTGTAGAGGGATAGGGCAGTGTACTAAAAGGCCCTAAGGGAGTGCAGAGTCTTCAGCTAGAAGCAGCTGGGTTCCTTTGTGGAGTAGAAGAGCCCCATACCAAAGCAAATTGTACCATGATTTGCATGAGAAATAAACCTTTATTGTGTCAGTGATGAAATTTGGGAAGTGTTTGCTGTAGCAGACAGGCTATGCTAATATTTAAATGTGTACCTAGCAGCGGGGTACTGCTGTAAGGACAGGGGGTCACTGACTTAGTGTCTGGCCCTGGGGCGGTGAGGATCCTCCTACAGGGGCTTGGAACACGACAACTCCTGTTATGAAGGGGAAAGTCCTTGGAAAAACTGTTGTCTAGAATAACCTGGAAGTCAGGATTTATGCCTAAAAGTCTTACAGCTTTAGAATAGTGATTGTTAACCCTCGCTGCATATCAAAATCATTCAGAGAATTTTTTAAACTGTCCAAGGTCTGACCCTGTTCTCAGATAATCTAACCTCATTGCTCTATGTGCATGTAGTGGGGGAAGGGAAAGGGCTATTAGTATTAGTCTAACAGTTTTCCAGATGATTCTAACGTTCAGCTAAGCTTGAGAACCAAAGCTGTAGGAGGAGGTCAGCAATTTGTTTTTCTATAAGGGGCCAAATTAGTGAATATTTTGGTCTTTGGGAGCAATACCATCTCTGTTGCAAATATTTAGCTCTGCTGTTATAGCATAAAAGCAGCCATAACAACATGTGAGCAAATGGATGGAACTGCTCTCCAATACAACTTTATTTACAAAATAAGAAAGCTGAATTTTACCTGCAGACCGGAGTTGGCTGACACCTTCTCTAGGACAGTGATTTCAAGCGTTTTTCTTCTCAGGGCGCTTTTACAAACTGTTCAGGATCACAAAAAGTTTCGTTTAGGGGTTATATCTAGCAAGAATTACCATGTTGAAATTAAACCTGGAGAAATACTATTAATTGAAAATAACCATTCATAAATCCATCTTGTTGACCTAAGCAGCACATTTTCATGATATTTCAAAAAAATGTGTAGTGAAAAAAATGTTTAGGTTTTTGCAAAACTGTACTGTCTAGCTTGATAGAAGACATCTAGATTCTCATTTGCTTCTTCACTTGGTGTGGTATGTTGTTTTAGCTGAAGTATATGAAGAAGGTCTGGCCTCACACATGCATAGGTATTGTTAGAAGGCCAATCTCCTTCTTTTGAAGGTGTATTTTAATAGCCTTTAGATAATTATGGGTGTTATTTGATGCTAAAGAATAACTCAACAAGTGATAATTTCCTGAAAGTTGATTGCGAGATGGAATTTGAAACCATATCGATGAACTTTTCACGTGCTATTACATTAAAATCTATTGGTTTACTTGCACTTTTAAAGAGATCTTATGCCTATGCATGATTTTGTAACTATCTTACATTAGTTAATTAGAAAATAGTATTTCATTGAGTTGTATCATTGGCACACTTCATTATATAATATTTTTTTTAAATCACATTTGTAAATATCACTGATCTCTTCAGAAAAGTATGAGGATTTGGAAGCTGTCAGGTTTATGGTGGTAGATACAAATTCTCCAAAATTCGCATTTTTACTTGAAAACTTAAGTTTTATCATTGGCAACAAATACTGTCAGGGTGTTTGCCTTCAAGTGACAGGCTCACTTCATTTATTTTCAAGAAAGTGACTGCCAAATACCTAAGTCTGAATAACCATGTTTTGTTTATCACTTGTTCTCTCAAGTAAAAATGGTGTTCCATGAAAAAGAGACGAGTTCAGTTTGCAATTCAAACAGCCATATATCACTTCTGTTTGAGATAACCATTGCATCCTTGTACACAGCTGAAGGGCTGTGTGTGTTCTGTCCTTCTGGCCCCAGGGAATATTGAAAAGACTTGTACTCAAGGGTTGAGATTTAATGAAGTGAACGTTTTTTACTGTTTCGTCAAGGGTATTCCTAAGTGGAAGTGGCTGTTTAAAAAATTGAGTACAAGATGACATGATACAATGTCTAACAATTCCATAAATTGTCACAGTTTGGAGATATTGCCTTGATTTGTGCTAAAGTACCAACAGTCTGACCCACCATTGCCTTTCTAGCATCAGTGGAAGTGTCAACCCAGTGAAAAAGGCAGATAAGATCTTAGTATCACTATGAAAGTATTTTTGACCTTGTGGATCCACTCAAAGGGTCTTTGTGGTTCTCAGGTTTGTGCAGACCACATTCGGAGAACCACTGCTTTAGGGAATATGTTTAAAAAGAATCAGTGTTAGTGTGTAATAGCTATTATGGGCTTCCTTGGTAAGGTGTTTCAAGAAAGAGATGAGTTCAGAAAGAACTGGCCAGTTTTCAAACTGAATAGAAAACAATAGAAAGAGTCCAAAGACTTGGGGTGAAAAATGGTTGGAAAGCCCACTGCTTCCAGATCCCAAATGGAGTCACAAGGCATCAATAACATTTCTTAGTTGGACAACATGATTTCATTCTATGGGAAAGATCAGATTAAGGCTGTGGCTTACCAGTAATCAAAGTAGCTGCCCTTAAAAAGAGACAGAGAGGAAAGAAAAACCTGAGAATTACAGATAGGAACAAATTCAACAGAAGCCTACCCAGTGTTTGAATTACTTGAACTGTCAAGAAATCTAAAATATTAGACTAAAAAACCTTTGACAGTTTGATCTATCAAATCATCTTTGGACTTTCAAACTTTTGGTAACACTAATTTCAGTTGTGCTGCAAGTGAATAAATAGACAAAAAGAACTAAGAGCTGAAGGCCAAGGAGGAAAAGGACAAGGTAATTATTCCCAGAGAGCAGAATTAAAGTTTAATCAAATAATTCATCCCCTGGCTGGGGATCTTCATAAAGCCTGCCAAGCAGGATTTCAGAATAATAATGGACTATGAACACTATGTCTCCCATTCTTCTCCTCTTTGAATGGGAGTTTTAATTGCATTTACCCATTCCTGGTCTGTTATATATAGACCAGGCTCATAACAAAACTCTACCCTCTCTCCTCTCACCTGCCTGCCAGGTACAAGGGGTCCCAAACCACTAGGGGGTAGTGAGGCCACTAGATGGAAGAAGCCTGGTTACCTGAATGGAGCAGATCCTGGCCAGTGACCTCAAGTGGACTGTGACAGGAGCAAGGAAAAAAAATCTGTATTGTGCTACACCACTGAGATTTTTGTTACAACATTTGTACAAATGTTCTTTGCTATACCATTTAGACTACCCTGAGTAATGTAGAGGCTAAACATGAGGAACTGAACTTAGACTGTGACAAGAATAAGAAGAAACACATGGTTTAGAGGTAGAATTGATACACTTCTGCAGACTAGGGGGATGTGAGAGCAGAATAAGGAAGAACAAGGAGTCTGGAATGAGTCCTAGCTTTTGGTCTTGGTCAAAATGGGTGGAAGTTTTGAATGGTACTAATAGAACAACCCAATGAAGTCCGACAGGTTGTAGCAATATTGGGGGTAAGAGCTTGGGGCAGAGGTCTAGAAAGAAGGCACACAGAGTGCAGTCAGCAGGGTACAGGTGACAGTAAGAGCCATGGGAAAGAGCAGTGATGATGGAATATGTTGGAAAGACATTCAGAGGGAGAAGAGTGAAGAAGTCATTTAATTAACAGCAGAGAGAGTCGAGTCTGCAGAAGAGAGAGAGAAAGTGAACACCCAGAAAGGGAGAAAACTGGCAGAAAAGGGTAGGTCACAGCAAGAAAACAGTTTGAAGAATTACAAAATGACAAAGGATTAAATACAGCAAAGAGGTCAAATATGATGAGCTAACTATTTATTAGATTTTAAAATTAAGAGGTTATTGGTGATCTTCATGAAGATAATTTCAGTGGAGTATTGATATAAAATTCAGATTGTTGTAGGATAAATGTCTTATGGTTTTATGGATGGAAAGCAGACTTAAGGTAATAAATTTGGACCGAGGCCCAAGTAAGTGTTAGAGCTCTGCTTTGAACTCTCGCCTGTCCATTACCACCCATGCTTCTCCACTCTTCCAAACTGAATCTGAAAAGTGCACTTAACTAAGATGTTGATGCAGACATGATTTTGATGATACTGCTGCTAAAGAAGCGTAAAATAGAAGGCTAATAGAAATCATAAAGATCAGTATTTATTTTCAGAAAGCTGTAGAGAGGCTGCTAGTTTTGAACAACATTTTCTGAGAGAGAAGTCCTCCTCATTCCCCACCCCCACCACCAAACTTTCTTTCTCTTAAACTGATTGTATTGATTTTATTGGTAACTAGGAGTTATATTTCATAACATGTATGGGTAATCAGTGTTATATTTTTTAAAGCAGGGTTATTTTGGTTTTAGAACACAGGTTGCATCAACTTACTAAAGTAACTTCTTTCTAAAACTGTGATGTCTCAGTAAGATGACTGATAGAATTTTTTCTCTCTGAAGTCTTATAAAATTTAATTAGCAAGATCAAAGTTGGCAAGAGTTTAGTAGCCACCTTCTTCACGTTTGCCGGATGCCTTGTTTGTAATTTGGTATTTAAAGTATAATCCCCAAACAAGCCCAAAAGAGCCAAATGTTTTTTAGGACATTTAAATTACCTTTTTTTTTCTTTAATAAATGTCATGGAAAAACCCTAAATGCTGCCATGGAGTGCCATTTCAAAATAAGCTCCTTAGCAAAATAAATGTAAGCCATGTAGAAACCTGAGGAAGCTCTTATTCTTGAGAGCCAAGGCATCTGCAAATCTTGTGTAGGAAGTCTCATATCCCTTTCCTATAAAGAAATTTTGTATGAAATAAAGGAAAGTAATTGGCATCATGTGAATCCATTCATTAAATTTTACTATTTTTGTACAAAGGAACCTTTCTTGGCATGTGCTGATTTCCTCACTGGGAATGCCTGCTAAAATATTTTCATTAAGATGTGTTATTTTTAGTATAAAGAACCTTCAAATCTGGGTCTCAGAACATTCAATTTGGAGTGTATGTAAGGTCAAGAATAAATACAGTGAGCATTATTACACATGAACCTTGATACTACCCTTCTTCAGTTACAATTTTTCATAGCATAACTCATTTTTATTTATTCCCTTTGCATATCTATGGCAACTATTTCTGTGGAGTTTATGTATTTGGTATTTGGTTGAAATGCCTCAATAGAACAGAAAATAATTTTTAACTTTTTTGAAGGCTGTGATGAAGAATTGAGAAACGACGTGCCTTCTGTGTAAAGCAATTTAAAAATGTATCTCTTTATATCTGGACAAATGTATGTACACACACTTTGATGCATGTCCTATTTTAAAGACATTAAGCCCCAACTGATTGCCTATATTCTCTTAAAACAGGGTGGCAGATGATAATCTCTTGAAAATTAGTTAATTGAGAGGAGACAGTTTAAAAAGAAAGAAGAAACACCCAGCCCCAGTTGAAAAATCCATGTTTTTTTTTAAGTTGCACGTGTGGATTTTTGTAAAAAAAAAAATAGAAAAATGTAGCTATGGCATACCAAGTCCACATGTTACATAAAGGATAGGGTATTAGATATGCTCCATATTTCCAGAGACACTATTTTGTAGTGCCCACTGCCCCATAGGAAATTTAAAGAAAACAAAGTCACCTTATGAAAAAAAAAAACCACCCACTAAACTAAGCTTATTTCCAAACCAAGTTTACTTCTTTGCAGCTTTTAAATATTTTGTTTGGTTGTTCTCATCGAAACTTAAATTGATCTTATTCTAACAAGTAATTCAGAAGACACAGAACTTTCTGCTGATAAAACTGAATATCTGAAGAGTATAGATTGCTAGTGAATATTTTGCAGAATCCATGATATGCTGGAAGGATAGCATTGCAACTTTTGAAGCCTTTATTAAATATCAAGACAAAATGTTCAGCACATTTTATAGACAATAGAAACAAAAACTATATGTTTTAAGTTATGCAGTTCCTAAGTTTTTAAACAATAAACATGTTTCGTATGCAGATGAAGCAATAAGGCTAAAGCTTTGGTTTTTAAAATTAGAACAGCTGTCTTTTATGGTATTATATATAATAAAGACAAATGAAACAAATTTTTGGTAATTAGATGATAACTAATTTTTATTCATTCAGTCATTGAACAAATATAAATTAATTATTTACTCTAAGATATTATAAACTATATCCTTGGATGCAAAATGAAAGTTTAGCCATTCAGTACTTTCTGGGACTTAAGGACTAATTCTTACAGTTATTGAGAAGTAAGGCCATTTGGTGCATATGCTGAATTAAAGAAAAATAGACAAACAAAAAATATGTCAATGAATTATAGAGACTACTATTTAACAGGGTTGGGACCAAAGGTCATAAGTGCTGTTGGCCACAACTACCTGAAAAGAACCCAGAGTGTCAGGCTGGCCTCTTAATGGTGACTGGGTGAATACCAAGGTTTGGTGGCTTGTTCTTGAGGCACATCCAAACATCGGGATGCCTGTCTGGTGTTATTAGTTAGAGCTTTTTTGTCTATTAACATAGTTTAGAGAAGTGTGACTTGCTATGGAACATTCATGGTTCTGGTTTTATCATTAGAAAAAATAAAGGAAAGCCGGCCACATTTTGGATGCACTCCCTTCAGTTCATACGGGGCTAAAGTAACATGATATTAGTTATTTATGAATCATTGTTGACAGCAAGAATTCAGAAATTGAGAGAGAAAAAAAGATCATTACAGGCTGTGACATACTTTGTGAAAGGCAGAAATGGGTGATATGAATGATAGTCACTGGGCCAGAGGGGGTGGGAAGAGGCCAAAGAGGACCTCTCTGTGGAGGTAACAGATAAAATATGGTCTGAAGGACCAGAAGTTGTGGGAAGAACCAGGAAAAGAGTCTTGTAGGTAGAGAAAACAAAGTGTAGAAATAGGTAAAAGGAGCTTGTTGGTTACGAGCAGGAAAGAGGTTAAGTTTATGAGCTTAAACTCCATTCGAAAGGATTTGTCTTAGGTTATTTCGTATCTCCTGGAGAGTGCCCTGCTATCAGGCAGGAGAGCCTGGGGGATGCTACCAAAACCAACCATCCCAATCTCAGTCACTCCAAACAACTAGGTTTATTTCTTACTCACTGTAGGTTCATTGCAGGCTGGCCAGGTGTTCTGCTCTGTGTTCTTCTCCCTCTAGGACTCATGCTGGTCACTATCTGGAACATGTCAGTTAACGGTGGCAGAGGAAAAAGAGAATACATGGCACATCCGATATAGGCTCCTCAAGCATCCACACACATCACTTACATTGGCATTTCATTGGCCAAGCAGTGACTCACCTTAGGTCAGTAAGGAAGTGTAACTTTCCAGCATGTCGGGAGAGGAGTAGAACTGTAAGTGTCACAGCTGAGTGGCAGCAGTGCCTCCTCGGGGGCCGGGGGGTGTCAGTGAACAACCTGGAATCGTCCGTACAAGTCGTGAGTGTGTGTGTGTGTGTGTGTGTAGGTATGTGCATGTCTCCAGGGAAAAGCTCCATTGCTTTAATCAGATTTTCAAAGAGATCTGTGACACAACAATTAAAAACCACTGGACCAGTTGAAAACTGTCATGTAAACAGATAATTGCTATACAAGGCAATTTGCAGCATGAGCAAGAGGCTGAAACAATTAAGAACTGTGTGTGGGAATGCACACAAGTGCGTGCATGGTGATGAGGAAAAAGTTGAACTAATGTGTAGCCCAAAGGGGAGAAGCCAGAGAACAGAGAGCAATGGATTTAAAGACACCAAAGGGCAAGGGGAAGTGGCTGATGTAATGAGGTGCTGGAAGATGCCAAAGGAGATGGTGTCCAATATTCTCTAGAAGCATCCACTTCAGGAGTTAGATAATTCTTCTCTGATGTGGGAGGGAGCAATGGAAAAGGTGGGTGTCCCTGTGGGCAAGGCTGCAGGTGGAGGGGACAGAGAGGACCTCTATTTTGTCTGTGATATAGGGACAATGGCAGGTGTTTAGAATGAGAGGCTCGTAGAACACGCTGGCAGCTTGAAACAGCTGTGAAGGAAATCTGAAATGGAGCCAAAGGGACAGACAAAAGGACTGCCAGTAGCACTGAGGGCCCCACTGACGCTGGAGGACATAGGTCTGTCACAGTGCCAGTATACAAAGTTAAGGGATTTTTCCTTATCCGTGCTCAGCTGCCTGGAAGCAGGAGCTGAGAAAGTTACCTGTTGGCCTGATCTGGGCAGAGCAGGAGTAGCACCATGTTTTACCCATAATAGGAGGTGCAAGAATGTCTGAACAAGCAAAAGGGACTAATTTTGCTTTTAATTTTTAAAATTAAGTCAGTAATGATGAGAAGCAGCTTTACAAGCACCTAGAGTTCTCCTTTGCATGTTGTAGTTCTTGCTCCCTATACAACTTGTCTTTGTTTTGAGCTCCTAACTGGTATAACCAATAGAACCAGTCTGCTGAGGGGTCAGTGGCATAGCTTACTTCTCATTGCTGCAGTAAAATTAATCATGCCACAGCCACATAAGATTTTATGTGTTCCTAATACTCCCTTATTCCACTAGTAAAATTTGACAGAAGAAAGGTAAAAGAAAAAATTAGAGCTTTAAAAATATAACGACATACTCAGAGACAGAATTGCTTAGCTAAGCATCTTGCTATTAATTAGTACGTTGTAAATTTTGCTGCCTTGGCTGATACTAAGACATTGTATTTAGAGGAACCATTAAATGAAGACAAAAGAAAAACATCTGGAGTAGCTTAGTTCCCATGCATACTGCGGTCTGAAATGGCATTGTATTGCATTTCTCTCATCCCGGTTGCTGGCCACAGCCCTGAATTTCCCTGATTTCAGCGAGGTTACATCATAAGCATTTAATAAAAATGGTGTCGTTGTTCATAAAGGATGCATATGCATATTGAAGGCAAACACAGCCGTGATAATAATTCTTCTGGTTTAGTTGAACGACTTTCCTTGAAATCTGTCATGTTATTTTCCATTTCCTCAGAAAGGAGGTTTCGTCTCTTAATTATCTATTGATGACTGACGGGTGAGGCGAGCATGCCAAGTCTGATCATCTAGAATTATGTTTGAGACTGAAATCAAATGTGACTTTTCACATCCTTCCTCAACAGAAAGAAGTCAGCAGGAGGCAAGCAAGTTAAAATTCTAAAAAGAGATTGTTGTTACAAATGGCTCTTCCCCAAAAGATCCTCTCTCAGAATCTCGGCTGTGGATAACTAGCAGGTTTTATCTCCAGGAACTAAGATAAGTTTCTCTTCACTGCTGGCCTGCCAACATGTAGACTGTCTTCAGCTGTGGCAGTGCTGCCAGAATGAATAGCTGAAGGAGAATCTACTCGACTCTGTATTTATTTTAGAGTATGATAATTTGAGGGAAAGTTAAAATTGTCAGTTTTCCATTACACCCTGAAGCTCCCAGCGCTGGTTATTTCATCAGACCTTGCGGATGTACTTCTGCAGAAAATGGTGTAAACAGATGGAAAAGCCAAGAAGAGGGGGATTAATGTCTTGCCAAAGGCCACACAGTGTGTCAGTGTGTTCAGAGCAGGACTGGGTGCCTGGACCTCCTGACGTGTCAGGCTGAGGTCTTCAGGCTCCAGTAGGACAGGATGGCCTGGGGATGATGAGATCACCAAGGGAACATGAGTGGTGGAGGGCTGGTCATGCAGAGGGCAAGGACAGAAGATTTTAAATATACAGATATTGGCCTGCACCCAGCTGTCCAGAAGCCCAGTGACGGTGAGCACTCTGCGGCCAAGGGCTGTATGTTCATCCCCACAGACGGGACACCCCCACAGGGCCTGGTGTAGCAGAAGAAACCCAGTCACTGGGGAATCAATTCTGCTGAGTAAATTCACCTTTAGCTTATTCAGATAATCTCATTTCTCTGCTCAAAATAGAGTGATGCTTCTCATTTCCCTTGAGTAAAAGTCAAGGCTCTGCCTGGGCAGTCTGCTCTTGGCTTCCTGGGCATTTCCCTCTCTGCCTTCCCTCTGCTCTCCCCCACACGCCCTCCTTCAGCTCCTTCTCCACATGTTACCTTTGCATTGGCTGTTATGATACCTAGACTCTTACTCTACAGACCTAAAAGGCCACCTCTCTTACTTCCTTCAAGACTTGGCCCAAACATTGCTATCCATTAAGTCCTATTCCCACGGCCCTTTTCCCAGCTCCCTGCTTTCTTACTTTTATAACACCACCTTCTAAGTCTAATTTGCCATGTTGTTTACTTATTTAGTATGTTCATGTTTTGTTATCTGTCCTCTTGCTAGGACATTAGCCTATGAGGGCAAGGATCTTTGTCTCTTCTATGCACTGATATCTCTAGTGTTTCATCCAGTGTCCAACACACAGACGGTGATTTGTAAATAATCATTGAATGAATAAATTAATAAAGCTGATTAGTGAAGCAAGTGAGTGGGTGAGTTGGAGAGTGAAAAGGCTATGTCACGAAAACCGGGGCAAAGGTGACTGGATCATCAGCTCTGGCAAATTGATAGAGCTGAACATTCATTTTCATATTCAAAAAGCTCTCGCAATTCATGATGAACTTGGCCAACTTTCAGAGTTAAAACTGCAGACATACACCTGTAACTGTCAGCAATGTGTAGTTTACTCCCTGATGAGTTCAGACAAACAGCACATATGTGCATTTGTATATTCCAAAGTGGGGTATGAGGCCCTCTGCATTAGGATTGCTTGGTAAGTATTAAGGTTCCTGAGCCTTACCCAGTTTACTGAATAACCTCTAAGGATTCCCCAGTTGATTTGGGTGTATCTAAAATTTAGAAAATCTTTAGAAAATGGTCAGACTGTAGTAGAACAGGATCACTCCTACTGTAGTATAATTGTTCCACAGGATGTTGGTAAGATTGCAGTTTATAAAGTGTTCCTTGAATTAATTAGGATAACATTAAGCTATATTTTTTTGTAATAGGAACTCTCAGAATCTTTAATAAGTTGACATCATTGTGAATTCCCAATAGTAGGATATAGTATGAAGCATCCCCATTTTATTTCATCATAGGTATCTCTTTAGGCATCTCTTATTAACTTTAGGAGGAGAGGTTTTTCTTTAAAGAAAAGGTCTGGGCATTTCTCTTACAGATAATTGCTGAGATTCATTCCTGAGTCTAACAATCTATAATTCTCTGTCTGTTGTCTCTCTTGTTAATCCCCTCCCCACCTCGTTTGTAATTTAATTGGGGCTTTTTACACCCTTGAGAAAAAAATATGAACTAGGGTATCTGCATTTCATAGTTCCCAGGACTCGCTCTTGCAAATGAACAAGGTCTTTTGTATTTGTGCTTGTGTGTGTGTGTTTGTGTATGCACACAAGAGAGAATCTATGAAAGCCAGTTCAGAGGGGTTACACAGAGTAGCCTACATATGTATAACACCTCAATGATGCCTCTGCTTGTTAAAGTAGAAATCTGGTAGGAAAGTAAGTAAGGGTTCTCTCCTTTGTGGATGTGTAATATGTTAGCAGTATGCACGCATACAATATCTCAGTGGGCAGAAGCACATGTGGGGCCCAGGTCTCCAGTATTGATCACCAGTAATCTATTCCTTACATCACTTTCCATTCCGTTGGCATAGCCCCTGGAAACAAGACAGGAGTGTGCCTGGAATGAACAGCCTTTTCCCCCTTTGAAAGCCACTGAGGTCTACAGCACATTACTTCCTTCTGTGTAATGGAAGTATCCACACATGGGCAATCACTGTCTACAGACGTAATGAGCCCCAAGTGGGAGGTAATGAGAAGTGACTGTCATGCCTTCTCTAGGGCCCTGTTCCTCTTGCCACACAATTACACTGTGACCCTAGAGAAACTGAGAAGACTGTAACATTCTCCCCCTTCTTAATGGTCTTGAAATCAGTCCTAGCTTACCAGGGGCAGCTGCAGGGCAGCATTATTCATTTGACACTCCAGAGGATGTCCAAGGAAATATATGATTGTAATATGGCAGGCGCTTCTATACGCAATCATACATGGCTCCTCAGTGCTGACTGGGCCTCCTGCCTGAAAGATGCCAGCAGACTGAGATGGTCCTTTCCTGCTTTGCCCTAGCATGTGTTTTTGGGGTGAGAACTGTTACTTCTCTCATAAAAGAGAGTCCAGGGAATGAGCTGGTGGGCAGAGCTGCATTCTGTTAGAATACATGCTGAGGCTTACAAGAAAAGCTCTTTTAAATTAAAG